TCTTTCTCCCAAACTTAACCCCTTTTTTCTAGTCAGCGTTGATAATTTTATTAATAATTAAAGTAGCTTTAAACACTTTAATACAATGAAAATTACTTCCATAGATGTCTCTTTGATGTATGTGATTATATGCTCTTTTTAATTCCTGTTAAGTTAATGACATGCGAAGCTATATGACGTCATACAGACCGTAATATGAAACAGGAAGTATAATTTAGGCAAAATGTTTACTAGCAGATTATTCAGAATATTTTAATTTTACACTTGGATTAAAAAAATTTTTGTTTTCGAACTGTAAGAAAGCAAACTCATTAATTATTTTATCAAGGTTTGAAATCTCTACTGAGAACAAAGCAAAACTGGTGAATTTTTTTCTGTCTCATACTACTTCTCATATAGTTTATTTATTTATTAATTTAGTCCAAAAGGGACTTTTAGTCTCGACGCGTAACTTTTCAAATTATTTTCACCAAATATTACCGCCCTGTATTATTTTTAGAGATAAAAATGACAAAGAATCTGCATGTATATATGTTTATATGTTCCTCGCACTGTAAAAAAACTACGGTAACCAGAGTCATCAGATTTTGAATAACGTAGTCCTCCACCCGAGCATGGAAGCCCGAATTTGTTTTATTATTTATTTCATATTTTGTAAAACTTAAATGTATTTTTGATTAACAAACTCAAAGATTTGAAAGCGAGCAAGTCGAGTGGCAACACTGGACAAAAGAAACATTTTTATCTCCAGTGCGCGACACTGTCTAGGAAGAATTCTAAAGATATACCGTTTTTAAATATTTTTGGATTTTGCTGTTGAATTTAATTCTATGTGTAGAATGTATATTTCATAAATAAAGTTAACACATAAAAAGTTAATAATAGAAAGACAAAATTTCTTTTTTTAGTCACTTTATTAAGAAAACTGTATATTGATATATAAACTGAGAAAAACTGAAAAAAATATATAAATCAATGCCAACGCTTAACAATGCATAGGAGATTCTAAGAACATATTGCTATGCTGCATTTAATATTTTGTTGTAGTTGTTATTATTGTTGAACTGTATGTGGGGCATAAGTGAGAAGAACAATATGCTTAATAATTAAGCTTAAGGACAAAAAAAAAAAAAAAAAAAAAAAAAAAAGAGGTTAGCAAGAGAGACTGCGAGAACAGACGTAGACAGCGAGAGCGTGAAAACATTCACATATCCTTTTGGGAGACCGTTAAAATCTGAAACCTTTCATATTTTATTTATTTTTTACTTAATTTAAGCTTTGAGAATGATGTTTAGGCATTAGCTATAGTCACAGGAATGGTTAAGTACATAATGAATGCTGTGCATACATTTAAAAAAAATCAAGCTGTTGTTTGTTATGAATAATTCTGCTTGAAAAATGAAAATATAAATATCGCTAATGAAGTTTAATTTTTTAAACTTTTAAAATAAAATCTCCAATAATAATAAAAAAAAAAAAACATTTTTCCTTTTCACTTGGGGCGCCTTTTAAGCTTGGGGTTTCGGAACACTGCCTCGGCTGTCCGGTTGCCCAGTCCTGTCCATCACGCTATTAGAACATTAATCATCTAAACGGCGTCAGAAATTGCAAATTCTAGGAGGGGATTTCTTAGATCTCTAATTAAGAAGCTCTAATTGATCTTTCAGGTGAGGTTAGGTTAATTGATTACGGCAAAGCAACTCGAGGGTTATCTGCCTGTGGGAAAGGATGCCTTCGCGGAGGTCTTTTTAAAGGAAACTGGCTCTTAAATATGTTACACACTTGGAAAACCCGAAAACAAACCATACATCTAGACTATTGGCCGGGATTCGATCCCAGATCGAATTACTATTATTTTGAGGTAATACCGCTTGGCCTCTGGCCTTTCAAATGATAGCGATTTTTACTTGATGTAGCCGACTGATGGATTTCAAACTTTTCATTATTTTTAGAAGGAGGGCAGAATCTTAAGACTTCTAAAAAAAGATTGTGCATCCGAATCCAAATCATTTAAGTCAGAATCATGGCAAGAAGAAAAAATGAAAATTATTTAAATGTTTTCAACTGTGTACTTATATACATTTTATTCCTTCTTTTTTCCAATATTAAAGAATTTTCTAGAACTTTTGTGTTTTGTATTGAAATAGTTTTCTTTTTTCCTTCCCCCCACCCCCACTCACCATGAAGATTTTGAGAGATCGAACACATCAGCAGTAGACAAGGCTACGGTGCTCTGGAACACGAACAATAGAAATAAGGTAAAATCGCATGTCTGGGAAGTTTCTTAAGTGTGAGAACACCTGCCACGTCTAGGTAGCTTAATGTACAATATATATAAAATTCTTTCAGATAAGAAATGAAAAAAAAGTGAACTAGAGGAAACGGTATTTATAATTATAAATGCGCATTTTAGATGCTTACGTGAAGGGACGAGTCTAGAACGCGACTTTTATTCTAAGTAATTTTTCGTATAAAATTATTAACGTTTGGTGAAACTGAAAAATACAAAAGACAAATTTAGTAACTGCACGTAATAATACTTGCAATTAACTTTCAATATTATTTTTTCATTCAGGATCCTATTTAACATCCTTTTGGAGAAGTGAGAATTGCTAATCCCTCTTTCTACGTGAATCAACTATCAACTATCACTACTATTTGCACTATTTTCTAACATGACCATTTTTTTTTTTTTTTCTGTAATCATATCAGATACACCAAACCAAACTTTCCGTCTTTTAAAATTTGTTATAGCGGAATTCAATTATGCAAACTTTTCTCACATGAGCGTAGTCTTTTTTTTTTTTTTTTTTTGACGTATCTTGTATATGTATTTAGTAATGCAAAAGAGAGAATATCTCTTCTTTTATGGTACTTTATTTCAACAAAGATTAGATATTTCAAAAGTAAAATATTTTTATTTCCTTAAAACAAAGTACAAAGAACACACTGGCCGACAGCTCGGTCATATGTGTGATGCTTTAGCTCTCTCTGCGCATGTCCTGAGAATTCATTGCTTATGTGAAGCCTTCGAGATTTATACAGCGCAGAATTAAGAGACACAGCCGGCCGAAAGGTGCGATTATAACTTAGGAGCATTATTCTTGTCATCTATGCGTTTCGGAAGGAAGAAAATGTCGAATATTTTAGCACTAAGTTCTCTGAAATTGGATATTCCGAGTGGAAAAAAGGCCGGGGAGATAATTAACAATACAGGAAATTTGTCAGGTTTATTTATTTATTTTTTTAATTCAAGTATAAAAAAAAAGTTTAAAAAAAAATTAGTTGTTTTTCTTGACGTATTGAATTGAATATTTTTTAAGAACTGAATTTAGAAATGAAAGCATTATAGCATTTTCTTTGAGTCTGAATGATAATATGCAAGAGAGAGAGAGAGAATAACATTAAATTTAATATTTTTATCTATTGAATACAGAAATGAATGCATGAAGTAGAGGCCGCTTAATCTGATCTCTATTAATGTTGCCATTCGGATAATGTTATCGAATTGCCGAAGTCCTGCCGTTTGTATACGAAACCATTGAAAATACATCACTTATTGGGATTAACTATTCTGTTAATAAAATCAAAATATTATGAAAAAAAAAAAAGAAAAGAAAGAAAATTTGAAATGTTTCAGATCTTAAATTACGTGCAAAGGGGCGTTTTTTAAAAATATTTTGTGTGTTCCATTTACTTACTAAATATCACGTTCTTCGCACTTATATCATAAAATTCAATTCAAGCGCAATATCGCAAAATAGTTTTAAAATGAGCATGTCTTTTAGAATTTCCAGTACAGAGACTCACGCGTTGGAGATACAAACGTTTTTCTCTGTACAACGTTGCCATTGTTCGCTTTGAAATCCTTGAGTTTGTTAATCAAAAATTCGTTAAAGTTTTACAAAATATGGAAATCGATCATAAAACAATTCAAATTTCAAATTTGGTTTCCACATGCTCATATTCGTTGGAGGATTACGTTATTCAAAATTCGATGACTCTAGTACCGTTGTTTATCACAATACGAAAAATATACATACATTTATGCAGATTTTTTTCATTATTTAATTTCTTCAAATATAATGCAGGACTCTAACATTTTGTGACAACAGTTTGGAAAGTGAACCGACATTTATAAGAGTCCGACGCAAAATGCCAAAACGAAAGTAATAGTCCTTCGGGACTCAAATCCCTTTGGACTAACAATTTTATATCTGAAGTACAATTACCAAAGAAAGTCGAAATAGATTATAAAAATTGCCAGTCTGAAAAATGTCGCCATTTTCAAGATGATCAAGCACAGGTCTCTCTTCTTCAGGAGAAACAGAATTTCCGTAGAATGCATTTTGCCTTATAAAAAAGTTCCTCGAGAAACATCTATATCAAACTAAGGTTGCTATTTTGCTTATTTTCAAATATTACATTCGCATGTTCTCTTCCACTAAATCAGTGCTCCGGTATGCCGCGGCACACTGGTGTGCCATGAGTAGAATATAGGTTACAATCAAATACATGTATTTGACATTTTGCAATTTTTTATCATGTATTTAATACACAATGACAAATTTTTCCCTAATAAGTCTATTTAAAATGTTTTATATTTCACTGTTGTGTGGTTGTGTGTTATTGTAAGTGGGCAGCATTTGAATTTTTCGGCACTTCCTTGATAACTGGAACTCAAAAATATATAACTTTTTTAAGGCAGGTATCATGGATAATTATTATGATGGCATAAAAATAGTTTATGGTTTATATTGTATATCTTTCAAATTAAAACAAAAATTTATTGTTTTTGTATAATCAATACATAATACTTTTTTGGTGTGCCACGTCCAAAAGATTTTTGTGCGTCGCAGGTGAGAAAAGGTTGCGGAGCACTGCACTAAATGACGGATACCATACCATCCAAATATTTAAACTAGGGGGTCATCGGTCAAATAATTTCCGGAAAGGCTATGAACAGTTCATAAACAATATTTTGCATTTTCCTAATAAAAAATTCTGAAAAAGCACTGATTTATACGTTACTTTTCGTACTTATATTAAACGAGTTAAATTACTATTTTAACGGCTATTTGCTTCTCACCGTTTAACGTTATCATTCGGTAAATGTTATCTAAACTGTCGTGCGCAAAAATGATCACATTAAGCGGCGTCTGCTGTATTATACAGAGTGTTTGTAAAGTACCGTACCCATTTTGATATTTAATAATTCATAAAATAATGAAGATATAAGCAAACTTATGGTATTTATTGATGGAATAACTTATATATTTTTTCAGGTCGATATCTTTACTTTGGTAAAATGTCTGCGCGTGTGTTATTTCAGATAATTTCATTTTCCAGTCTACTTCTGTACTTTTCTAAATATCGTCTGCTTTTAATTGCACTTTTCTCTCTTTTATTTTTGGCAACTATTGCAATGTTATTAAGGCACAACCGTGAACCGTTAGGAATAACCGTGAGGCACAAGGGTTCTCCAAAGTTAATGTGTGTTGTGGACTACTGCACGACCGAGTGATTGGCCTTTCTTTTTTTACAAAAAAATGGTCTCATCGTCGTATCTTAGACATGTTGGAAAAACTTTCCTATTTCCACAACTAATCGCTTTCAGCCACATGTCTTTTTGCAACAAGATGGCACCACCTCATTGGATACCATCGTTCGTAGTTTCTTTGAATGATCATTTTACAGGAAGATGGATTGGGCGAGGAGGTCCAATTCCTTGGCCACCCAGATCACCTGATATAACGCCGCTGGACTTTTTCTTTTGGGGATTTGTAAAGGACAATGTTTACAGGGGAAGCGCGTCGAACATTGATGACCTAAAAGCCAGAATTACAACCGCAATAGCCTCTGTGGATGCCGATATGCTTGCCGGTACCTGGCGTGAAATGGAATATCGAATTGATATTCTCCGTGCGACGAACGGGACACATACGGAAGTTAATTGACAAGGGTCATGAAACTTTTTGAGTCTATCTAACCATTTATGTTATTAATTTAATCTATCTTTATTATTTTATGAGTTATTAAACATCAAAATGGGTCCGGGACTTTATAAACACCATGTATTTCTTTTCGTTTGAATGATAATTCCTTATTTAATATATTATAATATTAATAACTATTGGCACTCAAAATTCAATTATAGTTAGAATTTGTTTTCTATTTTTCTCCCTTTTATTCATTAATAGTTCAGAAGAAAAATATGATTGCTTGAAAGAGAAGAATATGTTGAATTAACAATGTTTATCATGTTTCATTTTTGGGGATGCTTATATCTGGCTGTCTTGTATCTTTTGCGAAGAAATCCGTATTTACTATAAGTTCTTCAATTTAATCTCCAAAATGCCATTGTACTCGGTATTCCAGATAAAACTATGCCACACCTAAATCTAAATGCAAGCTAATATGATTTGTTTGACTATCTTTAGGGATAAACCATCTGCAATAGTTGTATTTTGTTAATTTGTTGTAATATTGTAAGAAATCTTGTTAATATTCCCCTCCCCTAACATGACATCGAGTGAGTGAAGAAGACATGTTAAATTTTAACACTGAAATAAAGACTTGGTGCTACAGAACAAGGTTTCCAACGCAGTTCGTATTGACCTCCTGGGAATCGATAAAATGTTAAAGAGGGTCAGTGATGGTCAAGGGGTCGACTGGAAGTTGATATCCGAATAGACACCGCCAAAAGATGGATATAATTAAGAACCCATTAATTACAAAACTTTATTAATAAAATTGATAATTAATTGTTTATTGATGTAAAGCTACGCAATGTAGTATGAAAGAAATCATATAAAATTAATACAAAAAATAAAAATACATCAAAATTATTTCAAATATTTTAAATCAATAACATTTCTTAAAAATATTTAAATTTTCATGCAACAAGTGCATTATAAAAAAAATTAAAAGCTAGACTACATACAATAAAACAAAATACGAAGAACTCAGAACTCCAGTGGAAAAGAAGAAACTGGTTGAATATTTTTGATGACGTGATTTAAAAATTAAGTTAAGAAATTTGATGTGAAATAAAAAAAAATTGTAAAAATGCACCATTCGCAGCCATCAATCACATTAAATACAACCAAAGTTTTGTACAGTTAGAATTTGGTGCTCTGTTTGTAGAATTGTAAATAATTATAAAACGAAAAATGAAACCTAATTATAATAATAAACTATGTTTTTCAAAACTTTGGTTCATATTCTTAATCTAACTGCTATCTTTAAATTATTTATATGCATATGTTTGCATTATGAGTATGTTGTATGCTGTATGTTATAGAGAAAATTGTTAGAGGGTCGATGAAGAAAACCATCTCTTTAAAAGGGTTGGTACAAGAAAAGGATTGACAATCCCTGCTGTAGAATCTTATCAAATCTTACTTTATAAATACTTTTCTTTACATCCCACCAGCTTATGTATAATATAAGTAAAAGAGGTAATTTTTTCAGTCCAAAAATGCGATAGTTGGAAGTCAGTGAATAAGCACGAATTATGTTCTCCACAACACGATTTGACTTATTTGACTATGATGTTTCTCTGTTTGTCTGCATGTATGCGTGTAACAATTTTTTCGTTCCCGATAACTCTTATATCAAATTATAAAAATTTTTGGTTTCCATATTTAAGTTACTGCAGTCATGTAGAAAGTTGATTAGATTTTGGGTAAACATGGAAAAAGTAGTATTTTATTTAAAAGCTCATAACAAACAGTTTTTAATGGAAAACTGCATGTTTTAATGCAGTTATTTAATTGATATGTTTTAGATTATATTTTAATAAACCAAAACATTTAATTTTAGTACTTAATACTTTTATATAAATGGAAACGACATATTAGAGTTTGGCTAAAATGGATAAATTGCAAGTGATATTGCAAGTGAAGGCATGAAAATCTATCTGTTGAAGCTCTAAACAGATAGATTTTCATGACAACATATGTTATGATATAATCCAGTGATACTCAAACCTTTTGGCAGTGCGACTCTGTTTGGAACACCGAGGTAAAATGACGACTCAAAAGTAAAGGGTGGGCCATCTAACTTTCAGAATTTGATTCGGCTATAAAAAGAAAACTAATGAATATTTTTTTTAAATTATGAGTTTATTAGAAAAAATGGACATTTTCATTTAAGAATGAAATACAACAGCATTCAAATGACTGCCACGGCTAGCTTGACAGTACTCCATCCGATTAACCCAATTT